AAGGGAAGGCAACAGTCATAGTCAAAGTAATGTAAAGCAAAATGGTTGAAGGCTAAGCCAAGAGGTCATACTGTCTGAAGAAAAATCCTTTTCATGGCCATTCCCTTGGTGTGCATCAAGATCAATTATCATGACCCTGTACATTTGCATCTTATGAGCACAAGAAATAAGGAGCCATCAATCTCATGGATTTGGATATGATATCAATAGCATTCACACAACTGCCTAAAGCTATAAGACTTAAGTTGCATATATAATACCTTGAAATATTTAATCGGATAAAAGCAAATTGAATGCACAGAGAGATGTCTGCGTAAGCACAAAATCCACCTCCTTCGTTTGCTGAACAATGATGAAAGCCGCCTCCTACATTGATGGCCCATCCTCGTTCTTTTGCAAGCTTTGCAGCCAAAATGGTTCCTCCCACCTATGGTAGGTTTATAGCAGAATAAGCAATTGACCCATAGAGGGGAAAAAGATCCACGTAGGTTTATTAACCTGTTTACGGAATGGAGAAAGAACATACTTCTCCACGAGACAGTTTGGCAATAGAGCAACAGGAGGGACCTGAACATTACAGCAATCAAACGGTGAATAAAATTTTTGGTAAAGGGTACATAAAAATTCTACCACAATAACTGTTGCTAGTTTATATTTAATTAAAGTTTGTGCCTTAGATCCTTCAAAATCAAATTAGATCTGGGGTAGTTGACTATCTAAAGCAAAACCATTATGGTTTCCTTACGTTTTGAGGACGAATTTTTAGAACTCCGAAAAGTTAAATACATAAATAATTCTAATTTAACCCCACCTCAACAATCACAGAGACATTTAAGCTGCTTTTTAGACTATTCAGGTACGACTCTGAATGCACCTGTCACCAACACCACAAAATATTAATTATGCTAAAAAACCAGAAGATGACCATCTCAAATTCTTGGCCAACAAGAAACCAGTGAACTCATCCAATGTTCAAACATACTGAATTGCGTACCAAGGCATTTTACCTCCGATAGTTTAGGCCCAAACCTCAATACAAAATAAATTAAATAACTCAAAAACTATTTGGGGGG